TGTATTTCCTAAAAACACAAGTGCGGGTTCCTATTTTACATCTCTGATTCACGGTGTTGCAATGATGGCATCTCCGAAGTGAAAACTGTGTTGCATCTCCATGTAACACAAAGGAAGACCACATGTTCCCTGATGCCAGGGCAGGAAACTCTTCTCTATGATTCCCGTCACTCAGAGTGTGTGAACGGAAGAGGCTGTCTCAGTTCCTCATCACGCAGAAGAGAGTTTCCTGTTATGGGAAAGCGCTGCAAAGTTGTGGATGAACAATGAGCTGAAAAATTTCTCTTATATTTGCAAAGTTCTTTCCATATGGAGTATGTTTCCCCTGGTCTTTGGGAGTAAGATGATATTTGCCTTTCAAATAAAGTACATACTTTCTTGTGTCAGCTGGAGTTCACAATTTCCTTTTTGCATTGACTGCTGGGATTCTCAGGGATATATCTAGACTTAATTTCAGAAACAGTGTTATTCTAGCTCCCTGGTACAATGATGTCCTCTTTTCCTAGGCTATTTCTGTTTTGCCTTAAAATATGGCTACCTTATTAGTGCTATAAAGTTGTAAGACACCTCAAATTCTAAGTTGGACTATGAGGGCTCTGATGTCTGCATAAAATAAAAATATGTAAGGTTGATCAAAACTATGCTTCTCACAGTGAAATGTGGCTCCAAGCATGTAATATTTCTAGGAAAATGAATGGAATATGCAGCTACAATTAAAATTTAGGTTCAGCTCATGTAGTTTTCCATCTGAGTCTGTGGATATGCATCTGGCAAACTCTTGATGCTGGTGACATAGAAGCATTTGCCACCAGATATTTGTAAAATCTTTCTAACACAGTAGTGTAGATAGATGGGCCTTCAGTCTTACTAATACAGAGAGACTTTTGTGCCCTCATTTGGTGGATAAGAAATTGAGTTTTGTCCTGGCCCGAAAGCTCGATTGTTTAGAGGTCTTCCCAATACAGGAAAGTTGTGGGTTAGATCCCAGGTCGGGACACAAGCCTTGACTCTGTCCTGTCCCATCTCAGGAGCTTCCCTTCAGCACCAGAGCAAAACTAGGCCCTCTGAGGTCATCTGAGGATGAGACGTGAGTCTCCAAGAAGCAATCAATAAATGCATAAAAAGTGGAATAACAAATCGATGTTTCTCTCTTCTCTCTCTCTCACACACACTTACGTTTTCTCTCTCAAATCTAAATAAAAAATAAGAAAAAGATATTGAATCTCCAGTAAGTAAAATGATATCTTGTTCTAGGCTGTTAAAAAAAACCTGTAAGAATATTAGAGAAAACCCACTACAAATGATGTCTACCATAAAGAAAGTTATACCATTTTCATGGAAGGGAGGATTCTGTGAGTTCTAATTGTATTTCTTTTAATAACTTCATAATTTCCATAAAATAAAATGTAGCCACTTTTGTATGCATTTCTATGAATTTGAACAAATGGGATTGATCCATAATCAAAATATAGAGCATTCCTACTACCACCGAGACTTTCCCCACGTCTTTGTAGTTCATCACTGCCACCTCCAGCCCCTGATTCACCTTCAATCATGGTGAACTAATTCTGTTTATAGGAGAATTCCTATAAAGTACTGATTTGTGTCTATATTCTCTCATAATAATATTTGTGAAATTGATCCAAGTTCTATGTATGTGTTCTTTGTAATGTATTCTTACTAAGTGGTATTCCATTGTATCTCATCCTGGTTTTAACCTGTAATTTTCTAATAACAAGTGATGTTAAGCTTGTTTCATGTGGGTAGCTGCCATTATTTTTCTTATTAGGTGAAATGGCAGATTAACTCTGTGGCTATTTTTTTTTATAAAACAGTGGTAACACAAACTTATCAAAACATTTCTAATTGTCTGGGTCAGTGGCATTAAGGACATTCACATTGTTGTGGGACCATCACCACCATCCATCTCTAGATCTTTTGTCATTTTTCCCAAACTGACTCTCTGTGCCCATGAAAAGCAAAGCTCTCCATCCCCCCAGATCCTGGCAACCACCATTCTACGGTCTATGTCTCTGAACTTGCTAGTCTAAGTACTTCATGGAAGTGGTATCACACAGTATTTATCCTTTTGTGATTGACTTGCTACACTTAGCAGAGTATCTTCAACCCACATTGTGGTATGAGTCAGAATTCACTCCCTTTTTCGAGGACGAATAACATTTCCTTGTATGTGTACACCACATTGTGTTTGTCTGTTTCTTGGTCGATGGGTCCTTCGGCTATTTTCACCTAATGGTGAATAATGCTACTATGAACAGAGATGTATAAATATCCATTAAAATTCCTGCTTTCAATCCTTTGTGTAAATACCCAGAAGTGAAATGACTGGTTTTTATGGTAATTCTATTTTTAATGTTTTGAGGAACTGCCATACTGCGTTTAAAAGCATATGCACAGCCTTGGAATGTACAGCAAAGCCCAAGAGTTTCATTTTCTCCATATCTGTTCCAAGTCTCACTATTTCCTGTTTGTACTTTATTTGATTGATTTCAGAGAGGAAATGAGAGGGAGAGAGAGAGAGATAGAAACATTCATGAGAAAGAAACATCATCATTGAGCTGCCTCCTGCATGCCCCCTAATAGGGATGGAGCCCACAACCCTGGCATGTGTCCAGACCTGGAATCAAACCAGAGACCTTTTGGTTCCTGGGTCGACACTCAACCACTGATCCACAGCAGCCAGGCTCCTTTTGCTTTCTTTGAAGTTACTTTCACAGAACAGCAAGCTCCTGCTCCCTAAAATAAGGGTCACTCAGAAGATGACCCACTAATGTATCGGGACATGGAAGAGCAGAGCAAACAAAGTCTGGAGACATTCAAGGATTGAAAAGGTCACATGGACAGTGCAGAGGGCTGAATGATGGCCACCCAGAGATATCCAGTTCTTAATCCCTGGTACTCCAAAATGTTCCCATATAAGGGAAAGGCGGGCTTTACTGATGGGATTAAGGTAAGGATATCTACATGAAACCATCCTACATTATGAGGGTTGATCCTTGAATCCAGTCACAAGTGTCCCCAAGATAGACGTAGTAGGTTACTTTCTGCACACAGAGCAGGGTGAGGCCATGTGACCAGGAGATGGATCTCAGTGACACAGCCACAAACCAAGGACAGCCGGCACTACACCACCTGGAAGAAGCAAGAGATGGGTTCTCTCCTCCAGCCTCTGGACCGAGTGCGTCCCAACCAACAACTGGATTTCTACACAATAGAGCCCATTACACACGATGGGGTATAGGACATTACCCCAAGATGTGGCACCCTATCTTTCTTTGTATCTGAGGTCTCCAGCAACAACTTAGAAGGGCAGAAGGAGAAGATATTTTTCTCCCTACATGTATTTCTGGTCTCAAGAACTAAGAGATTAAATTTCCATTTTTTAAAGACACAGAGTGTGTGGGAATTTGTCAAATGGCCCCAGGAAACCAATACAGGCGGGAATTCATGGAACACCTCTGGGAGGACCCAGAGGAGGAGTCGAGATAAGACCTCCTTCTCCAGACTCATCCCTCTGTTCATCTTTGCAGCCAATTTCCTCAAAAGGTTGTCTGGGCCCACTATTCCCATATCCCCTCCCCCAATTCTCTCGGGCAGTTGTTCCAATCATATCTTCACACCTTTGCCACCAACCACAGAAACCTCTGTTGTCAGGGTCTCCAGTGACAATGTGTTTCCTTGTGTCTTCTCTTCTCTATGTGCCATCAGTCCTTTTCCTCCCTCACCTGTTGTCATCATCTCACACTGACTACCCATGTTCACATCTCCCATCTGGACCCCTCTCCTGATCTTCAGACGTCCACACCAACTCTCTCACTGACGGCCCCAGTTGGATATGAAGTGTCCTCTCAGAATGAACATCCACCTCAAAACCCCCCTCTCTGTGTCCATCAAACACACCCTTTCTGATGCTCAGGGTAAAAAACACTTGGGCACATTCTTCCTCTAGACTTTCAGACCCCAAGTCAACTGGAACTTCAATGTATATCCAGAAATTAAACCTCACTCTCCACCTCACTTCCCTGCTTCAGCCACCATGCCTTCTGTGTCCTTCGAATTCTC